ATAGAATAACTTATTTAATGAGTTTATAAACAAAATCTTTACCCAAATACTCACAAAATATGCAGAGATCTAAGGCAACATTTTTTTCTACTGAGCTAAAAATACATGTAAGAGCGTCTGTTATTTTTTTTAATTCTTTAAATTCCGAATGAAATAATTATTCCGAGCTGAAATAATACCCTGTTATATGTATATGTCTTGATTGTTGACAACTCTTTAAATTAAATTAATCAAAACTTTCCACTGTAATTATGTACATGTTGTAGTAGTATAGAGTTCAACAGTTTACAATGTATAATGAATTAAGAAAATAGTTTTCTCATCAGTAACCATTGCATGAGCATACATGTAGTCTACATGTTGATTGTTGACCTTAATATGGTGATTTCTATAGAGATGAAGCCGGTGTTGATACAGAGGAGGACTTCCTGTCCAGCCTCATGGCCCGCTATCGTCAACTTCTCTTTGCCGCACTCAAATTCTGTCAGGCCATGCTGACCTCACTGGGTATAGAAAACCAGGACTGTGGCAATCAGGTGCATGAATATTCTCTCCAGCTTTAGATTTAATATTTAATGCAAAGTCCCTTGGACGGTTAATGGACCCATATCAGTATTTAGAATTAGTTGTGTAGAAAGTCTTTACATCAAGTAGAATTTATCATTGTTTTGACTTGTGGGTATCAGTGTTGTTTGTTTTGAACATATTTTATTGTATAAACAAAAGGATTTTGGAAACAAGTTCTTCCAACTTATGAGTTAAGAAAACCTCTCCTTATCATTGCTATTTCCGTATAAGTAGAATTTTTAGCGAGGATTTTATTTAGGCATTATTTTGGCATTATATGTATTAGCGAGGGTCATGAGATCGCTAAAACTGAATACCGCTAAAAATTAATTGTATTTGTAATTGCTGCTTTATTAAGTATTTTAAAATCGCTAAAATTACCTCTGGCTTTAAATAAAATACCATTTTTTAAGGAGAAATCGCTAAATTTGAGTATCACTAAAATTTCCACTTATACAGTATAAGGCAATTGACATGTTCTTGAAGGCATATATATAATTTCTTAGGTAACTCAAAGAGAGATTAGAATTGAGTTACTGATACATACATTTAAAAAAATAAATTGTCATGGGAATGTAATTTTATGGGTAAGGGTGACCAACGAAATCCACAAATAACAGACCCCACATACATGTTACAGAATTGTTCACCATTCCTTGCCGTTATATAGGTGATGCAGTTTATCTTATCTCACGGAGAAGTTTTCCACGGAATTCTACGAGACAGACAGCCCAGTTTAAATCTTTCAGCTCTACGTGAACTAGCTCTAACTACAGCAGTACTGACATGAGCCAACTCCAGAGGTTTGTGCCTTTATGGAAGTAGATTTTTTCATTGTGACATTTTTATTGGTAGTATTTTTTTTTTTCAAAAGTTTAGTTATAAAATGTTCAAATTATTATGTGTATCTTCATTTCTAATGTTGTACAAAACATGCATTCCAGATGCAGAATTTGATGACCTTGACCCAGCTGGAATAGAGTTGAAAGGTCAAAAGGTCAGGATTGAGAGACAGATGTTGGCTTTAAGGTAGGTCGCGGGTTTGCTTTTGTCATCAGTTTTGGTACGCAATTTTGACGATTCGAGCGGCTGTTTTGTGCACATTTGATTATGACGTCAGTTACGTCACAAAGACAACGTAACGTTGTTTCGCGCTTAATTCTCTGTAAATGACTTCAAGTCTGTACGAATCAAGTATATGGCACGCCAAATTCACAAAAATGAGATAAACCTAGTTTCACAATTGATAAACTAGGTTTATCGACTGTAAACTATAGTTTACAAACCGTAAACTATAGTTAACGATTCGTTAAGTATAGTTTTCATCTGTACGAATAATAATCTAAGTTTATCTGTCTGTAATAAAGCGTTAACAATAGATTTTGTTGATAAACATAGATTCACGTTTGTAAACTATAATTTACAATCGTAAACTATAGTTAAGTGTTGTTAATCATAGTTTCACAAATCGGAACTATATTTATCAGTTAACAGTTAACTATAGTTAAGAGTTGTTAACCATAGTTTCACAAATCGAAACTATATTTATCAGTTAACAGTTAACTATAGTTAAGAGTAGTAAACTATAGTTTACAAATCGTGAAACTTTATTTATCAGATAATCTATGTTTTGCAATCGCAAATGATTGTTTTCGGTGTTAAGTATAGTTTACGGTTGTGAAACATAGATTATCGCGTTAACTATGGTTTACAGACGTAAAATATAGATTAACGTCGTTAACTATAGTTTACAGTCCGTAAACTATAGTTTACAACCGATAAATCTAATTTATCGACTGTGAAACTATGTTTTGCTCATTTTTGTGAATTTGGCGTGCCATACAAGTAGATAAATACAAAGTGCATGCTTTTGTACGTAAACCCTGTATATGTTTTATAATTAAATTTCAGTCTAAATTCATGAATTAATTATTATATGTAATGTCTAAAGACTTATTAAATACAATGCCAAATGAGAGAAATTATTTATATTGTGAGTGTAACTAAACTGCTAAGATTGATTGATTGATTGTATACTGTGTAACGTCCCTCTCCAGAATATTCCACTGATATGGAGATGTCACCATTGCCGGTGAAGGGCTGCTTTGGGCCTTTGCTCGGCACTCAGGGCCATTGAGCAGGGAGATATCTTTTTCGTGCCACACCTGCTGTGACACGGGGCCTCGGTTTATACGGTCTCATCCGAAGGACCGCCCCATTTAGTCGCCTTTTACGACAAGCAAGGGGGAACTGAGGACCTATTCTAACCCGGGTCCCCACGGGATCTAAACTGCTAAGAGTATATCAAAATAAATCAACGTAAAATTATGGAATGCAGAAAGAAAGTTGTCCTGAATAAAAATTGCTTAGTGGAAAACTTGAGGGGTTGTATGTGTGCACATTATTTAAAACTCAGGGGAACATGCGTATTGCATCATAACTGCCATAAAAGCCGGGGCGAAAATATGCGTATATACTTTTCAGGATGGAACACATAATTATCAGTAAAAAAGAGTGAAATTTAAGCACATGTTTTTCCTGTTTTTTTTTTATTACTATCATCATTGTCAATATTGTCTGGTCGTTATGCATTTAAATCTCTTGTAATCGCCTTGTTTTGCTGGCTAATAAATTGTGAAATTCATTTAAAAATAAAATTATACAAACACCTGGACTGTAAGACATATAAGACACTGTAAACAATTTATAATTATCTTTTTCTATATACATGTATTAAAATTTTTTATAACAAAAACTCAAAGTGTAAAAGCTAAATGCAAGAGTTTTACATATCCCGTATTGAAATTCATTCAGAAAAATCGAAAATTAATAAATGCATGTTTGATATAGTGCAATATACTATAGCTTGTAACTAATATAGAAAGAACAAGTATAAACCCCCCTCCTCCCCTCGGCCGCTAATTTCCTCTGAATCGGGATGTTTTTTCTCACGGTTTTCGAATATACAATGTAGTGTCATGCCTGAAATCCTACTAACCATGAATTTCTTAAAAATACATGTACTAATATTTAATATTTTATTACTTGCGTTGTTGTCGCCGTATGTTAATTTTCAGGTTCGAGGAATCTTTATACCGTTCAATCTGACTTTGTGATCGGAATATGAATTTTTACAATACTAGTGATAATAAGTTGCTGGTCATTCTAATGTGTCTCCACAATAAATGAAATGATATATTTAATTAAAATTAAATTTTGTATATATGTCATCTTTTAAATTTTCCAAATACCAAGATATTTATACTCGTACTATGAACGTGACTGCGTTCAACAAATGACGTTGTAGATGTTAATTACGCCATAAACGCAACATTTTAGTAGTATTAAAGAAAACTTTGAAATTATTTAGCAAAAAATCTAGCGAGAAGACATATTGATTTTTTTATATTAATAGTTTTAATTTTACCTGATCTTCACATTTTGAAACTCCTGACTAATTCGTCTACGTCTTTAAAAAGTTATCCATTCTTTTTCAAAGAAACTATTTTCACAAAATTGGCTTAAAACGTCATTTTCCCATACAATTCAATAGTAAAACGTAAAAAAAAGTACCAACAACAATACCGCGCTTACAGTAATATAGTATTAAAACTATCTAGGCAAATTTAATGAAAATTGCAGATAATACGCTATGAATTCTAATGATCATTATATCAAATTTTCAGGATATGTTTTCTCGTAAGAATTTTTATGCAGTAAACCCGCGACTTACCTTAATGCCAAAGTACATGTACTGTATATCAGAGAGAGTCAACCGACAACTCAAGTTACTGGAGTCTGACGAGTCGACTCGGGGGAAGGACTTGAGTTCAGAACTCGCGGTGGTATTTTTAGAAGTGTCCTCCAATGTGACCTCCTACTGTCGAGCTGTCATCTCAACCTCAGGTAAAACAACAAATTTAAGGACATATCTTGTCAGATTGATCAATTAAGTTGTGATAAACCTGTCAGAACTGGCAATAAAATTTTGAAGTTGTAAATCTTTCAATTTAAATTTATGTGTGTAGGGGCCGAAATTTATGTTGTTACCTTTATAAAGTGTCAAAGCAGATAATACCTTTATAAACATTGTTTAGTACTGGGCATTAATAATGGTATTGCAAACTTTTTAAACTTATTAGCTTTAAACATACACACAAAAAAGCCTCAATATAAAAACACTTTTAAAAAAAATATTTAGACATCTGTTATCGCACAAAAATATTTAACGTCCAGGGGCTCTTGCGCCAAAGGCACTAAAATTAGAAGTGCCCCAAATATTCCTTATTCTTTCTCAGAAGCATTTAATTACCATATTGTAAATGTTAAGTAATATCAGCATCAGGAAAACATATTGTAACTTTTTGTAATTTCTGATTTTTTTTTTCAATTTATAGGACCAACATCACAGTTTTCTTGAGATCTGTTCGACCGAGTCTGGAGGAAGCCCTTTCTAGAGATCTAGGAAGTACTGACGGTAAGTTATTTATATCACTAGAGGTCAGAGGTCAATAAACTGTTATATTGAATAATTTTCTTTTCTCTTATTGGCTAGAACCAACACTGTAAGAAGGTCACTACCTGTTATATTGAATAATTTTCTTTTCTCTTATTGGCTGAGAACCAACAATGTAAGAAAGTTACAATGTGTTCTTGTTGAAATTTCTTGTTAAAACTTTCAATTAAAGCAAAGAAATAGTCAGTCTTTTAGGATCGAGTTTGCTATCATTTAATCATGTGATAAGATAGATATTGCTATTTTTTGCAGTTAATACGATGATTTAGACACCTGAGGAGTACAATATTCACTGAGCCCAAATACTGTACTTTGAAGAGCTAAATCATCGTATTGACCTTAAAAACAGCAATAATTGTATATTATTATATAAAAGGGTGGAGGTCTTTATTTTTAAACATTTCTTGTTTTAAATGTATTTGTAACATATCTGGTTACAGACACCTCATTCCTGAGTAGCAGTACAGTCCAGGCCCCCAGTCTAGGGGTGGTGGTGTATCAACTCCGTCAGTGTGCCAACCACTTCATGTCTGTGTACGAGAGTCACAAGCAACATCTACGTAAACTACAGAGTCTGGCTGATCTTAGTACAGACGACCTCAAACAGATAAATACACAATCAACATCTACGTAAGCTACAGAGTCTGGCTGATCTTAGTACAGACGACCTCAAACAGGTAAAGACACAAACAACATCTACGTAAGCTACAGAGTCTGACTGACCTTAGTACAGACGACCTCAAACAGGTAAAGACACAAGCAACATCTACGTAAGCTACAGAGTCTGGCTGATCTTAGTACAGACGACCTCAAACAGATAAATACACAATCAACATCTACGTAAGCTACAGAGTCTGGCTGATCTTAGTACAGACGACCTCAAACAGGTAAAGACACAAACAACATCTACGTAAACTACAGAGTCTGGCTGATCTTAGTACAGACGACCTCAAACAGATAAATACACAATCAACATCTACGTAAGCTACAGAGTCTGGCTGATCTTAGTACAGACGACCTCAAACAGATAAATACACAATCAACATCTACGTAAGCTACAGAGTCTGGCTGATCTTAGTACAGACGACCTCAAACAGGTAAAGACACAAACAACATCTACGTAAACTACGGAGTCTGGCTGATCTTAGTACAGACGACCTCAAACAGGTAAGATACAAACAACATCTCCGTAAACTACAGAGTCTGGCTGATCTTAGTACAGACGACCTCAAACAGGTAAGATACAAACAACATCTCCGTAAACTACAGAGTCTGGCTGATCTTAGTACAGACGACCTCAAACAGGTAAAGACACAAACAACACCTCCCTAAACTACAGAGTCTGGCTGATCTTAGTACAGACAACCTCAAACAGGTAAAGACACAAACAACATCTACGTAAACTACGGAGTCTGGCTGATCTTAGTACAGACGACCTCAAACAGGTAAAGACACAAACAACATCTACGTAAACTACAGAGTCTGGCTGATCTTAGTACAGACGACCTCAAACAGGTAAGATACAAACAACATCTCCGTAAACTACAGAGTCTGGCTGATCTTAGTACAGACGACCTCAAACAGGTAAAGACACAAACAATACCTCCGTAAACTACAGAGTCTGGCTGACCTTAGTACAGACGACCTCAAACAGGTAAAGACACAAACAACATCTCCGTTAACTACAGAGTCTGACTGATCTAAGTACAGACGACCTCAAACAGGTAAAGACACAAACAATACCTGTGTAAACTACAGAGTCTGGCTGATCTTAGTACAGACGATCTCAAACAGGTAAAGACACAAACAACATCTACGTAAACTACAGAGTCTGACTGATCTTAGTACAGACGACCTCAATCAGGTAAAGACACAAATAACATCTACGTAAACTACAGAGTCTGACTAACCTTAGTACAGACGACCTCAAACAGGTAAAGACACAAACAACACCATCCTAAACTACAGAGTCTGACTGATCTTAGTACAGACGACCTCAAACAGGTAAAGACACAAACAATACCTCCGTACACTACAGAGTCTGACTGATCTTAGTACAGACGACCTCAAACAGGTAAAGACACAAACAACATCTCCGTAAACTACAGAGTCTGACTGATCTTAGTACAGACGACCTCAAACAGGTAAAGACACAAACAACACCTCCGTAAACTACAGAGTCTGACTGATCTTAGTACAGACGACCTCAAACAGGTAAAGACACAAACAACACCTCTGTAAACTACAGAGTCTGACTGATCTTAGTACAGACGACCTCAAACAGGTAAAGACACAAACAACATCTCCGTAAACTACAGAGTCTGTCTGATCTTAGTACAGACGACCTCAAACAGGTAAAGACACAAACAACACCTCAGTACACTACAGAGTCTGGCTGACCTTAGTACAGACGACCTCAAACAGGTAGTGACACAAACAACATCTCCGTAAACTACAGAGTCTGACTGATCTTAGTACAGATGACCTCAAACAGGTAAAGACACAAACAACATCTCAGAAAACTACAGAGTCTGACTGACCTTAGTACAGACGACCTCAAACAGGTAAAGACACAAACAACACCTCCCTAAACTACAGAGTCTGACTGATCTTAGTACAAACGATCTCAAACAGGTTAAGACACAAACAACACCTCCGTAAACTCATAGTCTGACTGACCTTAGTACAGACGACCTCAAACAGGTAAAGACACAAACAACACCTCCATAAACTATAGAGTCTGTCTGACCTTAGTACAGACGACCTCAAACAGGTAAAGACACAAACAACACCTCCGTAAACTACAGAGTCTGTCTGACCTTAGTACAGACGACCTCAAACAGGTAAAGACACAAACAACACCTCCGTAAACTATAGAGTCTGTCTGATCTTAGTACAGACGATCTCAAACAGGTAAAGACACAAACAACACCTCCATAAACTATAGAGTCTGTCTGACCTTAGTACAGACGACCTCAAACAGGTAAAGACACAAACAACACCTCCGTAAACTATAGAGTCTGTCTGACTTTAGTACAGACGATCTCAGACAGGTAAAGACATAAACAACATCTCCCTAAACTACAGAGTCTGTCTGACCTTAGTACAGATGACTCAAACAGGTAAAGACACAAACAACACCTCCGTAAACTACAGAGTCTGACTGACCTCAGTACAGACGACCTCAAACAGGTAAAGACATAAACAACACCTTCGTAAACTACAGAGTCTGACTGATCTTAGTACAGACGACCTCAAACAGGTAAAGACACAAACAACACCTCCCTAAACTACAGAGTCTGACTAACCTTAGTACAGACGATCTCAAACAGGTAAAGACACAAACAACACCTCCGTAAACTACAGAGTCTGTCTGACCTTAGTACAGACGACCTCAAACAGGTAAAGACACAAACAACACCTCCGTACACTACAGAGTCTGGCTGACCTTAGTACAGACGACCTCAAACAGGTAAAGACACAAACAACACCTCCCTAAACTATAGAGTCTGTCTGACCTTATTACAGACGACCTCAAACAGGTAAAGACACAAACAACACCTCCGTAAACTACAGAGTCTGTCTGACCTTAGTACAGACGACCTCAAACAGGTAAAGACACAAACAACACCTCCCTAAACTACAGAGTCTGTCTGACCTTAGTACAGACGACCTCAAACAGGTAAAGACACAAACAACACCTCCGTAAACTACAGAGTCTGACTGACCTTAGTACAGACGATCTCAAACAGGTAAAGACATAAACAACACCTTCGTAAACTACAGAGTCTGACTGATCTTAGTACAGACGACCTCAAACAGGTAAAGACACAAACAACACCTCCGTACACTACAGAGTCTGACTGATCTTAGTACAGACGACCTCAAACAGGTAAAGACACAAACAACACCTCCCTAAACTACAGAGTCTGACTGACCTTAGTACAGACGATCTCAAACAGGTAAAGACACAAACAACATCTCCGTACACTACAAAGTCTGACTGATCTTAGTACAGACGACCTCAAACAGGTAAAGACACAAACAACACCTCCGTAAACTACAGAGTCTGACTGACCTTAGTACAGACGACCTCAAACAGGTAAAGACACAAACAACACCTCCCTAAACTACAGAGTCTGACTGACCTAGTACAGAGGAACTCAAACAGGTAAAGACACAAACAACATCTACGTAAACTACAGAGTCTGTCTGACCTTAGTACAGACGTCCTCAAACAGGTAAAGACACAAACAACATCTACGTAAACTACAGAGTCTGTCTGATCTTAGTACAGACGACCTCAAACAGGTAAAGACACAAACAACATCTCCGTAAACTACAGAGTCTGACTGATCTTAGTACAGACGACCTCAAACAGGTAAAGACACAAATAACACCTCCGTACACTACAGAGTCTGACTAACCTAGTACAGAGGACCTCAAACAGGTAAAGACACAAACAACATCTCCGTAAACTACAGAGTCTGTCTGACCTTAGTACAGACGACCTCAGACAGGTAAAGACACAAACAACATCTACTTTAAACTACAGAGTCTGTCTGATCTTAGTACAGACGACCTCAAACAGGTAAAGACACAAACAACACCTCCGTACACTACAGAGTCTGACTGACCTTAGTACAGACGACCTCAAACAGGTAAAGACACAAACAACATCTCCGTAAACTACAGAGTCTGGCTGATCTTAGTACAGACGACTCAAACAGGTAAAGACACAAACAAAACATCCGTAAACTACAGAATCTGACTGATCTTAGTACAGACGACCTTAAACAGGTAAAGACACAAACAACATCTCCGTAAACTACAGAGTCTGTCTGACCTTAGTACAGACGACCTCAAACAGGTAAAGACACAAACAACACCTCCGTACACTACAGAGTCTGGCTGACCTTAGTACAGACGACCTCAAACAGGTAAAGACACAAACAACACCTCCCTAAACTATAGAGTCTGTCTGACCTTATTACAGACGACCTCAAACAGGTAAAGACACAAACAACACCTCCGTAAACTACAGAGTCTGTCTGACCTTAGTACAGACGACCTCAAACAGGTAAAGACACAAACAACACCTCCGTAAACTACAGAGTCTGACTGACCTTAGTACAGACGACTTCAAACAGGTAAAGACACAAACAACACCTCCGTAAACTACAGAGTCTGACTGACCTTAGTACAGACGATCTCAAACAGGTAAAGACATAAACAACACCTTCGTAAACTACAGAGTCTGACTGATCTTAGTACAGACGACCTCAAACAGGTAAAGACACAAACAACACCTCCGTACACTACAGAGTCTGACTGATCTTAGTACAGACGACCTCAAACAGGTAAAGACACAAACAACACCTCCCTAAACTACAGAGTCTGACTGACCTTAGTACAGACGATCTCAAACAGGTAAAGACACAAACAACACCTCCGTACACTACAAAGTCTGACTGATCTTAGTACAGACGACCTCAAACAGGTAAAGACACAAACAACATCTCCGTAAACTATAGAGTCTGTCTGATCTTAGTACAGACGATCTCAAACAGGTAAAGACACAAACAACACCTCCATAAACTATAGAGTCTGTCTGACCTTAGTACAGACGACCTCAAACAGGTAAAGACACAAACAACACCTCCGTAAACTATAGAGTCTGTCTGACTTTAGTACAGACGATCTCAGACAGGTAAAGACACAAACAACATCTCCCTAAACTACAGAGTCTGTCTGACCTTAGTACAGACGTCCTCAAACAGGTAAAGACACAAACAACATCTACGTAAACTACAGAGTCTGTCTGACCTAGTACAGACGACCTCAAACAGGTAAAGACACAAACAACACCTCCGTAAACTACAGAGTCTGACTGACCTAGTACAGACGACCTCAAACAGGTAAAGACACAAACAACACCTCCGTACACTACAGAGTCTGTCTGACCTTAGTACAGACGTCCTCAAACAGGTAAAGACACAAACAACATCTACGTAAACTACAGAGTCTGTCTGATCTTAGTACAGACGACCTCAAACAGGTAAAGACACAAACAACACCTCCGTACACTACAGAGTCTGACTGACCTTAGTACAGACGACCTCAAACAGGTAAAGACACAAACAACATCTCCGTAAACTACAGAGTCTGACTGACCTTAGTACAGACGACCTCAAACAGGTAAAGACACAAACAATACCTCTGTAAACTCATAGTCTGACTGACCTTAGTACAGACGATCTCAAACAGGTAAAGACACAGACAACACCTCCGTAAACTACAGAGTCTGTCTGATCTTAGTACAGACGACCTCAAACAGGTAAAGACACAAACAATTCCGTAAACTACAGAGTCTGGCTGACCTTAGTACAGACGTCCTCAAACAGGTAAAGACACAAATAACACCTCCGTAAACTACAGAGTCTGACTGACCTTAGTACAGACGACCTCAAACAGGTACAGAGAAAATAAAAAAATCGAAGCATAACGTACTACATAGTACAAAGGATATGAAATCGGAGAAGGTTGTAATTTTTAGTCATTTAGATTACTGAGTATATGTCTTTTATATATGTATTTATTCTTATATTTTTGTATTGATCTGTTTACCGGTATTTAGTTTTCTGGAGTAGAAGAGAAGCTCACATCTCATCAGAGACAGAAACTCGCTAGAACTCGCCTCACCAAAATCGTGCATTACGAAGAGGAACAACTGCAGTACCTAGCTTGTATCCTTTTGAAATGAAGCAGCTAATATTATGATGTTGGCTACGTAAAAGTTTTTGTTTGAAGTTGAATCAATTATTTTTATTTGGCAGCTAGTGTACAATTTCAAACATGTGAATAAATAGAAACATTGAAAAACAAGAACAGAAAACATAACTGGTAGTAATCTCCCTTGACTATGCAGTAGACATCTTGGAGAACTGTCTGTTTATGTTGTGGCGCCATCTGGAGTATTATCTCATTCACTGCGTTCCTGTCAATCAGCAGACATCTGCGTACCAGAGTCAGACTCGCAGACACACACAACTCAGGAGGCTTCAAGGTTAGTCAGGATATTTATATCTCATGTCTTTTACATGTGGTACAAATGAGTTTATGCCTTTATATTTCCATTTCTAATTGTTTCTCTGTGATAACTCTTTGAAAGTTGTCGGAGTTTATTTCTTGATAATTCTGCCGGAATGTAAATTAGACAGGTCGATAGGTCAGGTGCCAAGGAGGCCTAATATGCATGCAAATCCCGTGCACATCTGTCTCTGAGTCTTACGCTAAGGAATAGCATGTAAATGCATGTAAATCTCGTGCGGCTGCCTTTGTGTTTGACGTCAGTGGGCGAGGACTATTGAAATTGGCATGGACGTCCTCGTGTGATTTAAATCTATGTCTACATTTTTAAAGTCTAAATCTACAATTTTATTTCAAAATGAAATGGAAATATAAGGAATCACTGTCTTGTTTTGAGAGTATGTCAGGGACATCAACAATAGTGGGAAACATGGGATAATTTTAGCATAACGGGCTTTACTTCGCCCGTTATGCAAATTATCCCATGTTTCCCACCATTGTTGATGCCCTGGCATACTCTCAAAACTAGACAGTGATTCCTTAATCGTCTTTTTTTTGTCTAAGTGAAATCAGTCTAACTGTACGCTGGGAAAGTGTTTTACCTCCAATTTTTATGCGCCCAGATCGAAAGATCCGAGGCATATATATTGTTTTGTCCTGTCTGCCTGTCTGTTTGTCTGTTTATCTTTTTGTCTGCAAACTTGAACCTTCGCCATAACTTTTGAACCATGAATGGCACAGACTTCATATTTGGTTTGTATAATCCACTAATGAAGCTCTTTCAAATGACACCAAGGTCAATGACCTTGTGATATTGACTGACCTACATGTTAAATTTTTTTTTTCGAAATTATGCCATAACTTTTGAACCATAAAAGATAGAGACTTCATATTTGGTATGTATACACCACTGATTAAGCTCTTTTAAATAAAACCATGGTCAATGAGCTTGTGACCTTGACTTTGACCAATACTCTAAATATTAATAGCTTTTTTGTCAGCAAACTTTAACCTTTGCCATAACTTAAGAACAAAGAAAGATAGAGACTTAATATTTGGCATGCGTACTCCACTGATAAAGCCCTTTCAAATAACACAAAGGTCAGTGGTCTTGTGACCTTGACTGTTTCCTACATTCTAAAAATAGCCTTTTTGAACCTTCACCATTACTTTTGAACTATGAGAGATAGAGACTTCAAATTTAATATGCATACTTCACTAATCAAGTTCTTTCAAATGACATCAAGATCAATGTCCTTGTAACCTTGACTATGACCTTTATGCTAAATATATGTTTTTTTTAACTTTGTTGCTGCTTTCACAAACTCATCTTGTTTTCAATACCTTCTTCACCAATGTGAGAATTTGAAATCGGGTAAATTTTAATATGAAAACACACACAACTTAGTCTAAGTGAATTTAAAATAGGGCAAATTTGTTTGAAAGTGTAGGAGAGCGAAAATAAAACTGAATGAAAATATTGTTGTGTATTGTGTACAATATTGAATTTTTTTATCCAAGTGTGTAATGTACTTCCAGATAGTGATATATGATAGGTTAATCCTTTAAATGTTTACAGATTTGACAGGGATTTCTCATTCATCATTTGGAGAATCTGATGTCGACTCTCTGCCAGACATAGATAGACAGCTTATGATGGGGGTGACCAGTGAAGATATAGAGACATTGAAACAGACAGCAAACTCAGCCATACACGACTCACTCCTCGAAAAGATACAAAAGATTGACATGGTAAAAGTGAAACAGTAGATAATGATTCCAAATAAAAAGGGAGAGGCCAAGGGGAAACAAAATATTAATTAAAGAAAAAATACTTAGCCATCTCTTTTACATTTAAGACTTGGTCATGCATCCCCTTCCACAATTTGGCCACATCCGATTTTTAGGTAGCTTAGGTCATCTTTAAACATGCTTGCCCTCTCCTGGCTTGGGGTACAATTATTGGGTTGGTACTTTAGGTTTGTGGAAAAATCTTTTTTCAAGAAAAATCCTTTTATATTTCAAGAAAAATCTGTTTTCAAAATTTTTTTAAACATATTTGTCGAGGATATAAGAGGACTGAAAAGAAGAAAAAAAATGTTTTCTGGAATGTAAGAAAAAAAGTTTTGAGTCTGGTCAATTTAGGTCAATTGGTTGAGAAGAGGTCAACAAAATAAATTTTGTATCTGATCACCTATTGTCAGTCATCCGTCCATCTGTCTACCTGTCTGTCTAGCCGTCCGTCTGTAAACTTTTCACATTTTCAACTTCTTCTCAGGAACCACTGGGCCAATTTAAACCAAACTTGGTACAAAGCATCCTTTGGTGAAGGGAATATAAATTGTAAAAATCAAGGGCCAGGGCCCCTTCCAAGGGGAGATAATCAAGAAAATACAAAAATAGGGTGGGATCATTAAAAAATCTTCTTCTCAAGAACCACTGGGCCAGAAAAGCTGAATCTTATGTGGAAGCATCCTGGGGTAGTGTAGATTCTAAATTATACAAATCATGACCCCATGGGGTAGGGCGGGGCCATAATAGGGCATCCAAGTTTTACATAGAAATATATAGGAAAAAATTAAAAAATCTTCTTTTCAAGAACTACTGAGCCAGAAAAGCTGAAACGTATGTAGAAGCATTCTGGGGTAGGTAGATTTTAAATTATACAAATCATGACCCCCTGGAATAGGGCGGGGCCACAATAGGGAATCCAACTTTTACATAGAAATATATAGGAAAACACTTTAAATATCTTCTTCTCTAGAACCACTGAGCCAGAAAAGCTGAAACCTATGTGGAAACATTCTGGAAAAGTGTTGATTCAAAATTATTCAAATCATGACCCCTGGGGTAGGCCGGGGCCACAATAGGGAATCTAAGTTTTACATAGAAATATATAGGAAAAAAACTTTAAAAATCTCCTTCTCAAGAACCACTGGGCCAGAAAACCTGAAACTTAATATGTGGAAGGATCATGGAATAATGTAGATTCTAAATTGTCCAAATCATGACCCCTGGGATAGGGCGTGGTCACAATTGGTATTAAAAAAAGGGGAAATCTGTTAAAGAACAGCATGGCTAAAGTTTCTCAGGTGAGCGTTATGGTCCATGGACCTCTTGTTTTAAGCTGGCCTTATTCACTTCTCCTGCAGTGCAATTCAAAACAAAATTCATTTACCCCTCTCTTACAGTTCACAAAAGTGCTTCAGCCACCCCTCTAAATCAGCCCACATTAACAAAATAACCCGTCCTTTTCCACAGCCCAACTTAAATCCTCTCCCAAAGCCATACTTAAATTCTGTTTCATCAGCCTATTTGTTAAAATCCGCAATAAAAATAGATCACTGTTTTAAAATAGAACATATACCATAAATAAGCACTGAGCTCCCAAAATGACACCCCCTGCCTCCCATATTATCATAATGGCAAAGTCTTAAGTTTTGGTCTGAGAGACATGAAATAAGTGTTGGATGAAAAATGTAAAATATGTGCACAATGGCTCTATGCAATAAAGATTCTATGAAATTAAATTTTTATTTATATAAGAGGAGTTATGGATAAGAGATGGGTAAAACAAAAAAATGTTTATTGGACAGACATACAGATGGATGAACTAACACCCCCATCACTATACCCTAAACCCAGCTTTTCAAGCGGGGGTTATAAATAATACTTTAAATGAACCATATTTAAATTTATGACCCAACTGTGACAAAACTTTGGAATAATCCATTATTTGCTTGTTTGTTAAGGAATACTGTAAGTCCAGGACCCACTACAGCTTTGTGGAGGCCCTCATAAGGAGAGTAAGGAGAGGCTCAACACAGGGAGCTTATAAGTTATATAAAACCAGACACAGGGAGATCACTATAGTGAAATGATTGATGTTGTCTTTAAATATGAATTTAAAAAAAACATTCAGAGAAAATATACTGTACATCAAGTAAGGATTTTAATGTTCAGTGCTACTGGCAGTGGACTCATTGAGCTGATATCACATAGAAGTTAAACTATTAATATCTGTTGAAATCAGTTTTGTCCATGTATTTCAAGATGTATGTGAATTAAAATGAAAACATCTACAATAAAAAGTTTTGTGTATCAGGTTTCTAATTTTTGTTTTGGGGTTATATATACAGTCAAACCCTGTTCTCTGGTGTCAATGAAAAACATGCTAATAAAGTGTTTAATTAATTTATCTTAATTAAAGTCCTTGGATGAATTACATATAACTAGATTGAAAGGATGTAGATTTATTTACGTGTATTAAGATCTAAGGACAAATCATTCTAAAGGCATCAAATTTACAGTATAATCAGAACTCTTCAGTGTGCAATGCACGATAGAGGATCAATTTGAAAATAAACAACCTAAAACACGTAAATGTCAATGAAATAATCATATGAACAATTATTATAAAAAAAACTTTTATTCAAATTTTACCTTATTAATATTATTTTTAATATTTTCACACACCCTTACCCTCCCTCACACACACACACCTAAATGCTAAAAAAATCAAACTGAATCTAACAATAAATTCTGGTGTCTACACATAAACCCCATGGAAGCTGTATATCACAGTTATCAATGTAACGGAGGAACTGTCCGTCCTGATCTACGATGTGGATACAGTTGTTTTGAAAATCTGCTATGAGGATCTGACTCTGGCTGTCTGTTTTAATACCACGTGGACTAAAAGGTCCCTTGTTCGTAGAGGGATGACCAGTGTATCTAAATCGGAGTTTTCCTGCCTGATTAACCACCACTACTGCATCGGCTCCATAGTCAGCTACACAGATATCCAGGTTCCTGTTCTCACTGATGTATTTACTGTAGATTCCAAATGAATAAAGAGGTTTACCTTCGCTATCAAACTGAATTGTTTGCTTCTCTGTGGAGCCAGAGTAACGAACAACTTTAGATTGTTTATCATCATCACTGACCATGGTAACCAGGAGGTCACAAGAGGAGGTACTACAGACATTGTAAGGTATCCACCCCTGTAATCTGATCTTTTCCTCTATCTTTTTATTCCTCACTTTGTTTACAGTTCTTGTATCATCATCAGTATACAATAGATGTCCATTCCATGTCACTGCTATGTCACGTGGTATGTTTTTTGACTTGGTTTGGATTGACTTCAGTAGTTTGCCCTTGAGGTTATAGAGTTTCATGATTTTGTCATCTCCACGTGTCCAGATTTCTTTATCACTGAGACAGGTAATACTGAATAGATATTCATACCCAGTGTTTATAGAGGTGATGAGCTCTGGCTCATCAAGCAGTGGTTTGACCGAAGGACGGGATACAGCTTCCGGTGTCTTCATTGTGTAGCCATGTTCATCTGTTGTAATGGATAATGCTGACAGAGAACCAAACATTTGATGGAGCCGTTCTTTGTTGACCTGATTAGGAGAGAAACTTGGTAATGATACATTGAGTTTGGAAGGCAAACTTCTGAATTCAGCATTCCTGGATTTGTATGCAGAGGTTAGAGTGACATCATTGGAATCCAGTATTTTCTTTAGATCAAGTGTGGTCTGTTTTACATCAGAAATAATATGTTTGATTTCTTTTTCCAGTTCTTGTAGAGCAGCCAGGTGTTTAGTTTTCATCTCATCAATTTCAGATTTTTGTTTGTTGACAATCATGTTAATTTCTCTGTGCATGTCTTCTCCTTGCTTGGCGACAGCTGTTTTCAGTTTCTCATAATGTTTTTCCGAATTGGTTTTTTCAGAGTATACATCTAATGCAATTTCTTCATATTTAGGACAGATTCTTGCTTCTAGCTCTTTTAGGTCATTTTCTAAATCTTTTGATTTACAATTTAGCATCTGCAGAGCATCAGATAAATCATGTCCTTTATGTTTCCCAGAGGAGATGCAGGTAGAACAGACAGGAATGTCACATTTCTCACAGTAAAGTTCACAATGTTTCTGGGTGTGGTTTGGACATTTTGGGTAGTTAGGAGTAGAAGTTCTGTGTTTGTATGGTACAACATTGTGTCTTTTAGACGAATCAGAGAGATGTTTACCAACACAGACTTTACAGATATTAACATGACAAAGTTCGCAATGACTCTGTAATGCAGCAGTTTGACACAGGTCACAGAGGAGGATGTCTTGGGCACAATAACGCGGGTCCATATTAGATGCTTCAGTCACATGATGAAGAAAATGCTGTAATATCGTGTATTAACTATTATATTTAATAAAGTGAGTATGAAGGGCAGAGATTTTAAACAAGTTCAAATTTGACTGGGGATGAATTTGTAAGTACTGAAAGGAAGACAGCCATGATTATACAGAGGAATACATGATTATATGGACAGCTCCTTATTGCTTCACACAATCAGCACTTGACGACAAAAAATATATCAATTTAGTTAACGATGATTTTTTGTTAAATATAAATCTTTCAACTTTAAAGAAAAATAATAATAATCAAGTCTGAAAAGCATAAATAATAATTATAGTGTCTCACCTGTTATTACAAGATGGTCGTCCATGCTAGTAAAAAGACTTACTATTAACTTCCTGATCACATGATTTTAAATGTAATGTATTGGTATGTTTACCTTGAAAAAGTACATTTTTTAAAACGCCTAATAATAATTTTAATAAATAGCAATATTGTCCTTTTCTACATACAAACTAATTAGAAAGTGTCAAAGTTATGTATGAATAAACTTTATTTTAATTTTATTTTCTATTTTGATTTTAGCAAGAAAAGGTAAATAAAAAAAAATATGACAATTTAAAAAAAAAGAAATTAAAACTTGCCTAATATCATAATTTTAATAAATAGCATATGTGTGCTACACACTGTTTCTACATGAATATGTCCTCCTAAACCAAACTTAAATCAATTTTACTGTTGTTTTAAAACAGTAATAGAAAACGGGGATTTTTTTGAATTATGGTAGGATTTTAATTTTGGACACATATTTCAAGCGCTAACGTATTACACACTATAATTTGATCTTTTGATACTAGTATTTATATAAGGTAGGGAAAATATTCAACAAAAAAATACATTACAACTCAAACATTTTAGTTCTAGTGCTTTCAAAATTTTAGCTGGCTTTCCTTTTCTTTTTATGATTTTAGATTTGGTAAGTAATTTTTACCTTTATTGTACACATCAGACATATCAGATATAATGTTTTAGGAATTATGTCTCTCCTTCCAAGGAGAGACATCTTGTTTTCATTGAATTTCATATTCTTCTTCTTCATCCAAACTTAGAACATAGATTGAAGAACGTAAGACAGAGTACAAGAAACCACAATTTTTTACCTTGATCCATTCATAAGGTCAAGATCAAACTTTTGCATCAAAAACAGAGCCCCAGACCATAGCTTGTCTGCCCTTTGATATAAGGAGTTAAAGACTGTCAAACAGAAAGAAGGCAGTGAATTCTAGATGCACTGCATCAGATCTTTGACCTTGAACTCTTTCTTTCTTCAAGGTTAAATAAAGAACACACGACTTTACCATAAATTGCATGAATAAACCCTTTGACATTTAGACTTCAAACTTAGAACATGCAGAGGACGAATAAAGGAAATATGAATGTCATCAAAATTTTTGACCTTGAACTAAATATCATAAAGTAAAGGTCACACTTTTACATTAAAAAAGTCCAGACCAGAGGTTTATTTATACACTTAATTGACGACAGATTTTTCCGTTATTTCCCGATCATGTCAAGGAGCACACAGCGGGTGTGACCTGTCAGCAGAAGATGCTCACTTCTCCAAGGCAACTGATCCCTTCTCTGATGTTTTGGAGGTCCATGTTTGCTCAGCTCCTATCATGTATTGTTACTTGAGATATTTTTTTAATATTTCAAATTTAAACTTGGAACAAGTGAACATGAACACTAAATGCACTACATCAAAATGTTTCACCTTGTTCACTTTTCATTCAAGGTCAAATTAAGAAAAATAAAGCCAGATACAACTTTAGATCCTTTTGACTTAGACTTGAAAGATGCACTGCATTTATATTTTAGGCCATGATCTTCAAATTGTACTTCTTAATGTTTGTTGTCGTCCGCGTGGCGCAGTGGTTAAAGCGGCTGCTCTAGAGTCGCAAAGTAAGGAGTCAATCCTTACGTCGCGGGTTCGAATCCCACTGTGGGACGTGAAGACCGGTCTTTCGGATGAGACCATATAAACCGAGGTCCCGTGTCGCAGTAAGTGCTGGCACAAAAAAAAGATCCCTCCGTGCTCAATCGCCCTGAGTGCCGAGTATAGGGCAAAATTTGCAGCTCTCCACCGGCAAGTGGTGGTGTCTCCATATGAGTGAAAAATTCTCGAGAGGGATGTTAAACAATATATACAATCAATCAATCATTCTTTATGTTTGTAAAGAAGGGAAAACATGTGGGCTTTTTTGTTAATAAAAAAACAATACCCACTACTAACTATTTTTTAAATATCATTCTTGTACATTGTAATGAGATCTGTAGACGCTTCATTTTGTATCAGGTGTCAAGGTTTATAAATGCGAATAGACTTTCTTATTAAAAACTTTAAAAACTTAGAAGGACAACAGACTTTCTAAAACCAGATACATCAACTCTTCTTTATAATTGTATGGACGTTAACAATCCTGAGATTTATTTTGAACAAAATACATTTTTGGCATTTTCAGGTCCAAAATTTTATTAATTTTAGAAAATTCTCCATCATTTTTTTTAAGTTCAAACATTTAATCTGAATTCTACAGTGCAAATTTAACTATATTAAATGAAAAAAAAAAACGGGATTAAATTCCATTCAATTAGAATTAAGCTAGGTACTATATTTTGTGGCGAAAGGATTTTAAGACGAAAATGATCAGTTTTTCGATTTTGAACTTTAACAGTACTG